GGAGGGGTACATTCGCCAAGCAAAAAATATTGAAAGTTAAAATGGCATATTTCGGACTACTCTTTCATTATCCTGAAATATTGTCAAATACCAATACTTTGCCTCTCGTACTTTACTCTAAATCCATTTAATACAGAAACAACTTTGAATCAATGCAAGCTACGTTTGTACACGTGTAGTAACCTTTAACCCATGCGATTTTCAGCACCACGGACGCATGCGCGGGCGCTTGGGTGTTATTTTTTTTTCCTTGCGACGCTGCGCGGGAGATATTATCATCTTGTTCAATTAAATCTTCCGCGCGTTGTTAAAAATGTATCAAGCCATTTCGTAAAAACCGTAAGGGCGAGCTGTGGTAGTCCAAAATCGATATTACGGAAAGGCAGTTGAGAAACATGGGATTTTCTCGAGGACCTACATCGCGCTCTATACATTTCTTGTGGCATTTTTATTTAGTACATTTCTCGTGGAATTTTTATTTAGTAACTTCCTCTTGGTAGTTTTATTTACGTTTAAACAGAGGTATGGGGAAAGAGTATCCCCCCCCCCCCTAAACAAATCACTTCTGCCGTTAGCATAACGAAGAAGAAAAAAATAATGCATTCCTCTTTCCTTTGCTTCTACTCCCTCTTTTTTCCACTTTTTTGTTTTACAAAATATGGACTCCACTGCTGTTGTCGGTTTTGTTTTTGTTTGTTTTTTTCTCCAATATAGTAGTGTGGCCTTCTACCTTTTCAGTCGTCTCTGGTTCAAATAATAAAAAGAAATAGGGAAGGAGGAGGAGAGGTAGAACGAGAGGTTGGGTTGGACAGAGTCAAAGAGGGAGAGCGCACGCGCGCGAGAGAGAGATAGAGAGAGATAGAAAGAGCGAGAGAGAGAGAGGGGGGGGAGAGATAGAGAGAGAGAAAGAAAGAGAGAGAGAGAGAGAGAGAGAGAGAGAGAGAGAGAGAGAGAGAGAGAGAACGAGTGGGTGATAGAAAGACAAAATAACGTCTGAACAAAATTTAAGAAAAAATAAACAACCCCTAAAGTCTAAAGCAAACTTTTCTCAAAGTACGACAGTAAACGAGCTTGACGGTACAATATTATGTATGTATATAGCCGCCAGAAAGACACAACAGAGGGAAGACGGGGGATGTAGAAGGACGTGAGTTGATCAGTTGCCGACAGGGCTAACGACCCGTGGCAGAGTAATGGGCCGGTCGGAGAGAGAGAGAGAGAGAGCATCGTTAACACTCTCCCGCTGATCGGGGCCTCGTGTTCCGCTCTGGTGGTGAGGTCTATGCGGCTCGACATTCGACACTGTCTGTGTGCGTCTGTCTGTCTGTGTGTGTGTGTGTGTGTGTGTGTGTGTGTGTGTGTGTGTGTGTGTGTGTCTGTCTGTCTCCTATCTATTTTGTACTTGTTTTGTGCCGTGGCTTCACTGCTTGCTTCTTACTCAGCGCTGTTAAACTGTATTATGCTGAGATGACTATGAATATGAAAATGAAGATAAATATGAAAGACCATTATAAGTACATAGATGACTGGACTAGAGCCGGTTGTGGGGTAGGGGGCGGGGGGGAGGTTGTGTACATGTGTGTGTGTGTGTGTGTGTGTGTTTGTGTGTGTGTCCCTTTTCTTCATATTACCGCTAATCATCCCCCCCCCCACACTTCCTTCCTCGCATTCCCCACTTTTATTCCATGCCAACTGTCATGACAAACCCTATCATTTAGTTGAGCTGCCACGATCCACCACCATGACACAGACTCATGACTTGACACATCTGCTTTTTCTTCTTTCTATCCAAAGTTATCGGCC